CATGCGCCTTCTTGATTTGAGATCTGCGATTATTATTTTATTTCATTTACAGATGTTCAGAAAACAAAATCATATGTTTAGATTGCTTGATAACTCAAATGAAGAAATTCACAATCGAATCCATTAGCCAGATGTTGTTTTTCTTTGAATTCGGTAACAAATTATTTGATATTTTATTAAAGGCTTTCATTTCGATGAAATAATCTTGTTGACTTTCAACACTGCATATTCGAATCGATTTCGATTCATCAAACAATTTTATTTCAATAATAAAAAATAAGCTTTATAGACGACTGATAAGAAAACAGTTAAGCATTTTTAAACTTGATTTGCAACTTGTTTGCTCTCCATACTTTTCATTTCAAGAAAAAAAAGGATGACGAGTATCGATTTGATCGATAACCGTAGTCCCGTAGGACTAAATGTGATGCTTCAGTCTCATAACATTGAGTTGTGTTTGGCCATCGATCGCGGCTCGTCGTTCTTCCTCTTTATTTCTCTTCTATTCAAGGTGCAACAAGTTACAAGTTGTGCAATAATCTTCTTTCCTTGTCTGTATGTCAACACTCAGTATGAGTATTGCGAAAGTATACAGAGACACAGAAAAAAATTATTTAATGAAGAGTTTTGATGTTCATCCTTTGGTAGCATTCAATTGATATTTTACTTTCGAACCTTTCATTCGAATCGAATGAGTCAATGCCACTCTTTGCCTTTACAGGTAATTAATGTTGAAGAAGGTATTACACGTCTTCATCCTTACTTTTAAGTTGCAGCCAAGATGTTCAATTTTTCTTAGATAGACTGGAAATTCAAAAATGTTTAAGGGATACCAAAATCAGGGACGCTGAAACTATAAAATCTTATAGAAAACTCAATAAAGTTTTTCTTTCTACTTATACTAGTAGGCCAAATCGAACTCCATAATTCTAGAAGATTTAATTATGCTTCATATGACATTATAATAGCTAAGTTTCGATGTGTTAAATTTTGCTATTAATTTTTAAAAACCTTTCTTCTTGAGAATACAAAATATTGAATTTTTCAAGATCACTCATATCTTACGAAGGGTGCGAGAATCTTAGATTTTTGAAAATTTCATAGCTCTTGAAGGAAATATTCGTATGGGCTGTAATTTTTCAACACATCTAGTTACAAGTAGATCTATTTGTGAGTGAAGTCTCAGGTTGAAATATTGTCGCTGGATTTATCGATGTGTACCATGTTATGGCCTAAAATTCTAGCAAAAGGGCTATAACTTAGAAGAGAGGGTCTAAAAGCACTTCTTTAAAGAGTTTTTATATTTCACTAAGGTCTACTTTACGCATAGACACTGTAGTCGAGAATGATTTATCACTTGAAATAGTTGTCTTGAGGATGTGAGGTGTGGGTGTGTGTTCATATTAAGAATATCGCCTCTTGCAGCTACACCCACACCCTAGCACGGACAATCAATTAATTTATTCTATTACCACTAGTGTTCAGTATTTGAGAATAGGTAGCATACTCCTGTTTCAAATATTACGGCAAGAATGTGAAAAAAAAAATGTAAAGACTTAAATGTTAACAGATAGTTATTCCACTGTAATTTTTTGCACCAAAGTAGGCTTTTCATTTCATTTCTTCTCACAGTATTATCATTACGAGTTATGGTTTTGTAGCTTTTATTTTTTCAATAATAATCAACTATAAAATAATGACTTTTGTCAACTATCATGCATAAATATGTACCTAAAATTCTTCATATTATCTAATTCGGAACAGTTTTGCTCAAAACTGCTCTTCGGTTGACTTTTTTTTGGTATTTTTAGCACCAGTATTCATTATTTCGTAGACTAGTATCAACAAAACTTGGTCAGCAATAGTGCCGAAGCATTATAGCGTTATTGATCACTCACTTCTGATTCAACTTTACGTCACTTGAGTATAGACCATGCTGTTCACAACAAGAGTAAGACGGAAGATACAGAGAAAATAAGCTGTTTAGTCTCTACGCATGACTTATGGGATGCAAACAACAGGCATCATCTTTTCCGAGAGCTGAGGGGCAACCGTTTCATGTCTACATTAGTCGAGCCCAAATATAAAAATATCAAGAAAATGTGAATGCGCGTGCCACAATCAAAATAAGGAAAATAAAATGGTATTCAGTACTGATTTGAGCCGTCATCAATTAACTAGGCACTAATCTATTTGTAGAATCTTGTGCTGTTTTTCAACAATTGGTTATTTGTTTTCATGGGGTGTGGGTGTGGGTGTGGGTGTGGTGGGTGTAGACGCGGAGAAAGAAGATCCACACCCACACCCACACCCATATACTTGTTGAGTGTAGGAATCCTTAAATCTATATCTATATTACAATATCTGTATGATAAATAAAGAAATTTAGAAATTTTCGTAATTACCAAAATTTCCTAGTAATTACCATAATTACCAAAATTTCCTAGTAATTACCGTAATTACCAAAATTTCCTAGTAATTACCGTAATTACCGAAAATTCTTATACTTTTTGAGGGTAGGGATCCTTAAGATTATATCTCCATTATAATATCTCTATGATAAAAAAAGAAATCAAAGAAATTTCTTGGTAATTTCGTCCGCATGTGCTCTTAGGTTGCGTTATTGCTGATAAATTTCCATCGGCCGATTGGGTATTTACGGAAAGTATCTAGTAATTTGCTGCAATAGTATGGGTAATTACTGAAGTTTCCGAGAAATTTCTTTTATGTTGTGGTGGCAATTTCCGAAATTTCGAGGAAGGTTATTTGTCATTTGTTTGAAATTTGGGAAATTCGGCGGAGATTTCTTTCTGACGGAATGGTAATTACTGGGTTTTCTCAGAATTTTCTCTTGTTGTGTACGAGTCTGTGAAGATGCTATTAGTGTTGGTTTGGTAATTTCGGAAAATTACTTTTTCGGAAATCTGAACATACCTCGTTTCATTGCCAGTTATCAGGGTGTGAGCAGGTATCGATGTGGATGAAAATAAGTAACGGATCCAGATTCTCGAACTATAGTCTAGACTGACGTGAGTTCTTCTAAATTTTTGACACGCTGTATGCGAAAAAAATAGCTGAAAGTTCGAGTTGAGCTAATTAGTCAGCATTGTATAAAATAGGTTGGTACAGCATTCAGCAAACGTTGACTATTAGCGGTGTTTTGCCAAATAATAGCGACGCATTCATGAGCAGATGCTTTGCTTATTTGTCTCAAAAAAAGTTCTCAAACTCTAATACTTGATCAAGTGCGAAATTAAAAACTTGAAACTTTGAAATAGTTTTGGCAAACAAGCTATTTAGTAAATATCTGCCAAAACTTTCCAGAATGAACACGAAATTTTGGATGATTTGCATTTTTTATGGGTGGGTAGAAGAAAAGTTGGAGTTTCTATGAATATGTTCTCGACTTAAAGTGGAATTCATAGCTAAACAGTTTTTATTTGATTCAATCTAAAAAACTATCTTGTTATATCGTCGATATTTGTACATCAGAAAAGAATCAGAGCTGAAGATATCCTCCGCCAAAATTGAAAACCGAACTATTTCGAGACGTACGCATACTTGTTAAGAAAGTAGCTGACTTAACTTATTTCTCAATAAATTCAAAATTTGGTTGAAAAATATCATAAGCATCCAAGTACTTCATTGTAAGAAGGTGCCATAGGTACAGACAAGCATTCTTAGTTATTTAAAAAGCTACTCAGTTAGAGAATCTATGCATACGTACATAGGATATAAAAACATAGAACGAATTATGATTATTGTATGCGATAGCCGTAAATGGTACTGGTGCAGGGTGCATCATGCTGATTTGCTACTAACATAATGTTCGACTGGCATCGATTGAAGTTTTTAAACAATGGAAGACAATTGATAATCTAATGTTGATCACTAGTTGCAATTGGTTCCATATTAGGTTGATGTATCACAACAGAAAAAATAACTAAGACAGTTAAGCGGTTATAACGTGTTTAATAATAAAACATTTCTAACTAGTTTAAACACGTTTTCAGGGACATACCACACTGATTAAACAGTTGAAACTCATGGTGTTTAAATATCGTTTTTTTCGTTCACTTCTCTGCCTAGAATCGTCTGTGATACTCACAAGACAGTTGCTATCATCATCATCATCAACAAAATGTGATAAAATGTGTGTAATATTCATTTGTTTCTATCTCGTACTGATTGAATTGCTATAAATATGACAGTGATTGTATTTACGAGAAAAATTACTATGAATCACATAGATGAGATAAAATCCGAAAATTTCAGGATGATTTGCTGATGACGTAGCGTTGCCCTCTAACTTGAAAATTCAATATCTCAGTAAAGAAGAGCTATGGTCACGAATTCTTCTAGGATTGTGCTAGTCTAGAGGTTTTCTCTAGATGCCAAAAGTATGAACTCAAAAGCGATTAATCACTTCGGACGATTACCTCTTCAGTATAAGAAAATTCAAGCAAATGTGAATTCAATATTCTGGAACATACAGAAATTAAATTAGTGACATACTGCGATATATCCTCAATAATGTTTATTTCCGTTGTACTCTTTATTTTTTACAGTGCTCTCTGATATAAAATTCACTTTGAGAAAAACCCGTATTGAATAATACCTAACTAAAAATTTATGTAAGATTCTATGAAAATAATTATACGGAGCTAAGTGACTCATCGAGAGAGATTTTCACTGGTCGATGTGTTCTATGAAGTAATACAAATAGTTTCATAATTGCATTTGATATTTTCTACTAAATTCATATTAATAAAAAGCAAGTGTTTCGAAACACGTACTGCGAGCTGTGATTCAGGCCTATGTTAAGAAATGAATCATTGTCTGATTACATTGATAATGAGTCAGTTATCTCAACAAGAGCACGTTATCGATTATATGATGCAATGATTGTTTTGCGTTTCTTGTGCATATAAAGCCTGATATACTTGTACTTCCTTTCGATGTTTTTTCTCTTTTTCAACTGATACTGTGACATAAAAAGCATGCTACCTGCTTCTCAATCTACAACGCCAGAAAATACTGTTGATGATTGTATCATATGTTTGAGTGCTCTTGCTCAGGGCACTCCTCTTTTGACGTTGTCTTGTGGTCATAAATACCATTTCCAATGTCTAGCATCGAACATCAAAGCACAAAATAAAGAATGTCCTTTGTGTCGTGCTAAAATTGAAGATTCGGTTATTCAAACATTTGCACGCCCTGTTCAGCTGTCATTACAACAACAACAACCGATTAGACGTCCACCTCGTGACGTAAATGTGAGTAATTAAATGTTTGGTAATTTCCATTTTTTGTCAATTCTTATATCGTCTAATTAATTCGTAAGCGAAACAAGTCCGAATCTAACATAATTCATTCTATTCATAACTTTTTTTTTAAAAATTAATTCGCCTAATACCAAATCGATCGTTCCATCTAAGTTGGTTATTGTCTGAATTAGAAGGTTGTGAGTGAAGGGTGTGGATGTAGGTATTTCTCTCTTCACACTGACAATCACACTCATATCCGATATGATAATCGACTGAGATCGTTACCAAGTTGAATGACATTCAATTGGTTTGTTAATAAAGTAGTTATATTTACTGAAATGTTGTAAATGGAATAAATCATATTTTATCTGAATTTTTTCAACTTTGAATTGATGTGGAGACATTATAATCGGCGACAAACAGACTTTGTTAGAAATGGGCTAAACCACATGTTTCACTTTTGTATAAGTATGATCAAAAGTTTAGGATTAAGTCAATGTGGATAATATCGTATAGGTTGTTCCTTCGGTTGAAGATCTCATCGATGAGGTTGCTGTACAAGAACTTAGCGATCGTCTTGCTTCTGCTCGCCAGACGGCAATCACTTCATCCAATAATACTGACAATCTTCCATTGGTAACTGTTTCAACAACATTAGAATATGAAGCTCAAGCTTCGCATGAAGAATCAAATATTTATGGCCTTGTCACTCTTCAAGCACCAACTGTTATCCAACCGGTAGAGGCTGAATCGCTTGTGCTGTCTCATATTCCAATTGATCTTGTTTGTGTTGTTGATCAAAGTGGATCGATGTCAGGTGACAAAATAGCCTTATTGAAACAAACTTTGATCTATATTGTCGAAAAAATGAATGAACTTGATCGGTTGGCCATTATTTCATTCAATACTACAGCTTTTGATCGTTCACATGGTCTTAAGCGGATGAATCAACAAAAGTGAGTCTAATATTCGTTCATAAGGAAATATTCGTTGATAGGTCAGCAGAAATTTTCACTGGAAATTATGTAGAGCTATCGATTCAGATGTTTTGATTTCAAATCTAAAAATAGTACAAATCATTGTCTAACTATTGCAAACCTATATGTTAGTATCGCACAGTATCAGTAGATTGATCCGTTTTGTTACTTGTATGCGAAAAGCGCTAAGCTTCAATATTGAAATATGGTATAACATATTGTCTAGAGTAAATTTCCCAGTTTTTTTCCTCTGTAATGTGCTCCTAAACAAAGTGAACAACACATATTTCGTGTCTGATTAATTTTGTTTGCGTCATCTTAGTAAGTTATGGTACAGAAATTCATGCCGGAAAAGAGGAAAGCATCTAAATCTACTTGTTGATATGAACTATTAAAGAACAGACGAACAAATGAACAACCATAAATTTGGATTAGAAAAGTTGTTTCATACATCTCATTTAGACTGTTTCTTGACTCGTTGAATGTGACACAATATAATGTTTTGTACAAGTATTCTTTCCGTATAAAAAGTTAGACAACTGAGTATTTGAGAGAAGAACACGACTTAAAAAACAAAACATGTTCTCTATAGCATTGTGTTGATGTGAAATGTTCAGAAAATGTTTACTAGGATTTTTCATCGAAGCAATTTCATTACCAATTCGATAATCTTTGAAATTGATGCCCTTTATTTAATAAATTGGCATACTTTGCGTTTGTGTCTCAAGAAACCTGCCTTGCCAGATGTTATTTTGAAAATGAAAAAAGAACTAGTAAGATAGTTTTCGACAATTTTTTAGCAAACAGATCTTGATTAATGCGATCAATACTGATATTACCAGTGAAGGTGGCACTTATATTGGAAGTGGACTACAAATGGCCATCAACTCATTCAGTAGTCGTCAAACAAAAAATCCATTGAATGGTTTGCTCTTACTTACCGATGGTCAAGACAATGACAGTCATGACTACACGCAACTAATGCAAACTTTACCCAGTGGTGTTCAATGTCACACATTTGGTTACGGATCCGATCATGCGGCTTCATTATTAGTGCAGTTAGCCGAGCAAGGAAATGGCGGTACATTCACTTATATTGTAAGTTGAGCTTGACTATCTGATTTTCAAATTGTCATGATTAACAGTGTTATTCGTAAATCTTGTTAACAGGATGAAGAACACGCTATAGGTCCTGCATTTGCAATGGCTCTCGGTGGCCTATTTACATGTGTTGCGCAAGAGCTTCATATCAACATCGAGTTCACTGAAGGCTATAAAATCACTCATGTCCATTCGAAATATAAATATGAACCTGAACAATTGCCCTCAGCCAAACTTAATGTCAAGTTACACGATTTGAATGCTGAAGAAAAGCGGAACTTTGTTTTTCAATTATATGTACCCAAATGGGACAATAACGAACAAAATGTAGACATGACTAGTCAACAACCAATGTCTTTGTCTCAATCTTCAAAAGAAATACAATTATTTAAAAATCAAATCATTGGTAAATATTCGCAAGAGCTGACTTCTTTTTGTGAATTGGACATTATCAACAGTGTTCAATTGTTTTTTCTCTGAATAGGTAATGTAACCGTCGTCTACATCGATCCCAATAGCCGTCGCGCAATAACAACAGATCCAGTTTCGTTCAATTTAGTTCGAAGTTCTCATCCTCCATCTGATTTGCTTCGCGTCAATCATGTGCTTGATATACAACGAAATCGTGTAGAAACAGCACATGCACTGGCACAAGCAATGGCCGAGGATAACTATCGACAATCACGTAATATTCTCAAAGCTCAAGTAGAGAAGATCAAGGCCAGTGTATCTGGACAAGATCCTTTCTGTCAAAAGTTAATTAAAGATCTTCAATACCGCTATCCATCAGAACGTGCTTATCGATCATCACATCAAAATAATTATGTATGTCATGGGACGGAACGTGGCACATACACACCGGCAAGCAATATAAGCTCACGACAGTATGTTAGTTTCAATCAACAGCAAATGGTTTTTGATTTTGTAAATAATAAAACTTCATAAAATTTTACAGCATTAAATGTAATCTCAATATATTTCTTCACTTTACATTAAAATAAATCTAGAGAACACATCTTTTCGTCTATTTATTCCTGTTCTGTACTCCAATCAGTCACTTAATCTTTTACATTGGCTTTTTTTTGTTTGATATTTTGGAGAAACAGTTCGGTATGATAAATATACTTCGCTTATTAATGCATGCATCAATAAAATGATCATTTTCTATGATTCAATTGGACACTACGTATTATTTCTTCTTTTCTTGTAGTACAACTAAAGATCCAAAAAATATTCATATGCCTAAAAGCCCGTGAATATATATAGAACTGGATACAAAATACATGTCGAAACAGACTTATAATTCAAATTTTCTTCTGATGGGAAATAATAGATGAAAGACTTTTACATTTCAAATAGCAGAAACGAAGGACGATAAACATTTTTGGGCTTGTTCTTCACCATCGAGTAGTTTTGATAAAACCTTAAATGTTTTTTCAGATCTTCTAAAATTGATAGAATGAGCACAAACAATTGACAAGGGAAAATAAAGTTGCCAGTTTTAATGAAATCATATATAAGTGATAGTGCATGTGAGTACGTTGTGTATTTACAGATGAGGAGAAGTAATGCACATATTTTGTGTTTATTTGCAAATGCAAAAGAAAATATGGTTTTACCAAGCAAGATAACGACAGAAAAGCATATTTGAATTTCTAATAACATGAGTCAGATTTCTATGAAACCTGTGAGAGAGTATTTAAGCTCAAACACGCGATTCATTGCATTTTTTTTTCGTTAAAATGAATCACCAAGTCATCCATTCATAATTGAATATATATGTATTAACAGCTGAAGTATCAATAATTTAGGCAACCGTCAATGTAATTTCCTAAACTGAGCCATCTTTTTACAAAATTGAAAAAATCCAGAATTAAATACGTGTGGTAGATTAGTCAAACTATTATTCATATTAAAACTGAGATAATTATTGCTTTTCATTGGTTTGTTTTTGTAGTCCTAATTCTTATTGTTTTTCACATGTTAAATCAAATTTGTTTTCTCTCAATTAGTTCAAATCATATCGGTTGGTAAACATTCTTTAGTTTTATAATCTTATACACAGGAAAGTGACTCATCAATAGCGCATATCTTTCCCTTTGGTAATTAAATAGTTATATAAATATTAAGTTTTGCCATTAGAATGTTGTTTTTAGTAATAACAATGTTAAATCAAAAAAATACGAAATATGAAAGTGAAACATAATGAGAAAATAACAACAATGAAAATGAAAAATAGGGCGGCTTGAAAAAAAAAAGGTATAAGAAAAATAACGTACATTTAATTCTCAAACGTCAATCTCGGTTTTAACATTAAGAACTAACAGTCAACATCTGAGATCGTTATTGAGGGAATATTTAACATGATCTGTATTTCGAAAAAAAAGAATATTCGTTTCTTTTATCGTCAAGAAAAGAAAAATAAAAGTCACATACAACCGTCAGCTTTATAAAACGTTTTTTCTTTTTATTTTGTCAAGCAACGTTAGTAAGTAATTTATTATTTCTAACAGCCAGCTCATACAGGTATGCTCGTAAATGAAGGTTAGTCGTTGTATTTTGCCATATAGCATGTCTACGTATTACAATCGTATTTCTTTACATTGTACAAGGAGAAAGACATACAGCGTGTATACAGATTTTGTTTACTTCGTGCTCGACAGTTTTTTTTTCTCTACACAAGAATATGATGTATTCATTGAAAGAATAAATGCATTAGTGAATATATATGTGCATTTTGTTGTGATTATAAGAAACGAACGAATATAGATCGATGATTTCATTTCTGATTTTTCTATGTTTAAAGTAACCAAATGATATGTTGATTAGGCTTGATATACTCAACTCGCATACAATACTAAAAACTTCTTTATATGATTTTAATTATTTATATTTATAGAGTTAGATTTTCTTCGACAAACTATATTTGAGTTAATTTAAACTTGAAAGATAAGAGAAATATTTTAGTATTGTCTAAATCTTCTATGCAATGTTATTTATAAGATTATAGAAGACATTGCTGGGCTTAAATATCTTATGTCAATAACCAAACTACTTGATTTTACAAGAATGAAGTCGTCTAAAATAAAATGAGAAATCTCTAACAGAGGCAATGCTTTTAAGACATTATTTGGTAACTTTATAAATGAATAGCCAATATTCGTAGAAATACTAGTTTTATTCATGTTGATTTCTTTATTTAAAAAAAAAACAAAATCTGACAGTTTTCTTTTCTTATGAATTGATTGAGTTTTATTTTGCATTCTTATGACAGTATAGTTCACCTTGATACATATATATTTGAAATTGATTAGATTTTATCTTTCATTCGTCCTTATATTGTACAAAAGTTAATTTATTCTTATGTATTTCTATTGTTAAGATGTCATTTGGAGAAGAGCAACGCATTATTCTTATAACTGGTGCTAACAGAGGCATTGGCTTTATGTTAGTAAAAAAACTATTGAAAGAATATCCATCAGGTAGTACTCTTATTCTACTCGGTTGTCGAGATTTAAAAAAAGGTGAAGATGCATTCACACAGTTAAATTCTCCATCTAATATTAAACTTCTTCAATTGGATACATCTTCAAGGGAGTCGATTATTCATGCAGTTGATCAAATAAAACAATTCTACGATGGTAAATTAGATGTTGTTGTTAATAATGCTGGTATATTTACAACAGAAATAACAGCAGATGCAGCTAGGGAATTATTTAATACAAATTATTATGGAATAAAAATACTTAATGAATATTTAATTCCTCTTATGAGAGAAAATGGTCGAATAATAAATGTCTCTAGTCGAGTTGGTACTATTATATTACAAGAAGCTTCTAAATCACTTCAAGATAAATATACATCATCAACATTGACAACAGATCAACTTGATCAATTAGTTGAAGATTTTATATCATCGATTGAGAAAAATAAACTTGAATCTCTTGGATATAATTCCAAATCAGACTTTCTAATCTATGGTGTTACAAAGGCGGCATTAAATGCTCTGACACAAATTGAAGCACGTGAATCATCGAATAGAAAAAATTTACTCTTCATCAGCGTAACTCCAGGATTATGCACCACAGATATGACTCGAAATTTGCAAAATACACGTCCACCTGAACTTGGTGCTAATTCGATTTTCTATGTAATTAATACTTCTCGTGATCAACTCAAAAATGGTGCTTTTTATCGAGATGGTCAACAATTACCATTAATCAACGAATCGATTATTATTAAAGAAAAAGGCAATGAAAATAAAATCAATCAAGTGAATAATTAACGTTGAATTCTAAAATGAGGATCAAATGAAAGTTGAGAGTTACTCTTTCGAACACAATCGATTCTCTTCTTCTAGACTTTAACTAAATTCTATATGATCATTAGATGAAATCAAACACTTTAATAAACTAAATTCCATTTTTTTTTGTCTTAAATAATTTTATCTTATCAAATATGTAAATCTATCAGAAATGTCAATTATGTAATAAACATTTATTCTTTTTTTTATTGTTAAAATAATATAGATGCTCAGTTACTTGTGTAATTACAAATGTATCCTTGTGCTTAAGGTTTTACTCATAAAAGTGATTCATTTTAATGTCACAAAAAAATACATTTCAATATTGTTTTTGAATATCTAAAGAATGAAAGCAGCTAAAAATCTACGGATTTCATGGCATCTAGAGTAAATAGAGACTCGTACAACATGCAAAACTCACATCTAAACCACCTAATAATTTCGAGATATGCATACTTCTAGTTTGCGATGTCATGTCGCTAACGAATGATTTAGCCCATATATATATATGATTATTATTTATTTTATTCAACAACTTTTATTTGAAAAATAAAATAAAATTTTACGATGATCTTCTAGTTGAAATGATTTATTGAAAATATAATTGATTATTAATAAAAATCCAAGAGTTGCTTCATTTGATAATCATCAATAGAAATACTCAACTCTAATGACTTTATTGTAAACTATAAAATTTATCTTTACCGTCGAATATAGATTTATTTAAGAATATTTTAGTGAAATAAATTAACTTGATATAACACAAAATAGATGAAGATATTCATTTTAATTTTATTGATGTGCGATATTTTTAAAAGCTTTTCATAATATGTTATTTGATATTATTATTTAATTCTTGATATGTTTCGACTATTTGAACTACCAACAAAAAGAAAAAATATTTTAATTTATTTATTAAGGAAAATAAATAAAAATTTACAAATATATGACTGGAAATATGATTTAGAAAAAAATTTAATATTTAGCTTCTTAAAATTTATAATTTATTCGTATTCAATGGACATCACTGAAGAAATTTAGAATTGAGTCTAAATTTTTCAACTTTAGTTATATCTTTTTCAAATTTATTTTTAATAGAAAACTTCACATAACGATAATATATCAAATACTATTGGGTTGTAACATAAGTTCTGCAGGTTTTTTTTGTCAACCAACAATATTTCACTGTCTTTTTCGAATCATAACCGGCTAGTTTCTGTAAATGTCTGATTGAACAATTGCTAGAAAGATGGGCCCAAGTTTCGAAAATAATGGCGATTGTATTGTTGATTGATGTTGCATATCTTTGACGCAAAATAAATTTGTTCATTAACAACAAAACTTGCAGAACTTATGTTACAACCCAATAAGTTTGATTTTAACATCCTCTCAAAAACTGATCATTTAGGAGATAATAAAAATTACATGCTTTTTTTCTCATACATTCAAAAAAATGGTTTATAGAGAAAATCACATAATTATTGATCAAAAATGTTTATATTTATTTATTTGTTAGAACAAATAGACAAGAGTTGAAAAAAACGGTGTTCTTACACGTAAAAAGCGCACATTTTTACGCGTTAAAAAACGTTTTTTTCTTTGAATCAAATGATTTCTACAATGTAAACATTCACAAGCTTTCCTTATTTTCCGAAAAAAAAATCAAATTGCATAAAACGTTAAAATGTGCGCTTTTTACGCGTAAAAAAGTCGTTTTCTGCAACGCTTGTCTGACTGGATAATATAAGATGTTTGGTTATTCTACCGGTTGACTCTTGATTTAACTCTTATACATCTCAGTATGTCTACAAATATCTGATTCTTTCAGATTCAACATAAGGATGGTGTTGAGCAGAGTTGGTGAACGGAACTTTCATAGCAGGGTGATCCTCGTTAACTTTTGCTTTGTTCTTGAAATACTACCTTTTCTCAGGAACTTTTTTTAAAGTCCTTTAAGCGTTAAAACCTTCGATACTTGTATAATGAATGCATGATAAGTTTGAATAACTGCCTTAAATTCTTTTATTTCGATTTGGATTCTTGTTTCCGTGGTCTGCTGATAATAACGATATGAGAGAATTGATAAATCGAAAAACAACATCATAAAAATTGCAAATTCTTCTACTGATTAAATGGATCTTGATGGTGGCACTTAGTAAGGTATGCTCTGGATAGAGTACATCTAGTTCTACCTTGGTCAACTGGTGGCCTAGTTTAGTCTAACCTATAGGCGAGCAATGTCACAAAACACTCGAATTCTGGTGTAAGATATTCTACGTTTAAATTTTAAAAAACCTCAATCGGTCCCACATCTGTTTCAGATAGCGCTGAATGAAATACCTTCTCCTGTTTTACAAAGGCGTACATATTTGTTTGACGTCGAATTAATGAACACAGCATCACAAAATAGAATCGAGGAAGAGGTTTTACGAAAAAAACCTGAAAGTGTGATGGATCAATGCATAGACTTTTTTCTATGGAAAATGGGCGCAGTTGATGGTTCGTCGTGGCTGCTAGGTACATGAAATAGGGGCGACTACGAATCTTGCGGTTCATGTTATTGATTAACTACATAAATGTATACAGCTATTCGAAGATATTTTACTTTGTTTCTATGTAATGGATTAATGTTTTTATCAAACATAGAGAACACTGCAATTGTATTTATGACAGAGTGTGGGTTTGGGCGTGGTATCAAATTCGCTTCATTAAAATTTCACACTCACGCACATCCGAAATATACCAATAAGGTTTCTTTTATCCATTAAAAAAACTTTCATGTTCATGTTTTCTCATTATATTTCTAACAATTTCTACAAAGGGAAACCTAAAACATATCCATTTTGATTGCTATTCAACTGTAAAAGTTTATCATATTACTGCAATAATAGAAAAAGTATTGATTAAGTCTAACATTTATTTTGTTTATCACATGATATCACCAATGAATATTTTTGATAATTCTTTTTTTTTTAATACAATAATTCTATTGTAAAACAGATGTGCTTTTAAGATGAATCAGCCTTACATCAAACACATTCACGTCATAATTTATCTATTTTACGAAAAGAGTAAAATATTTTTTTTTAATGCGTTATATCAAGTTGATTTATGTGAGTCATACAGAAGATTAAATTTATTAACCTTTGATAAAAGCAAAACGCACTAAAAATTCATCGTCATACGTCAAACTATTGTCGTCATTCTATTTCTCACTTAACTGATGAGTCAACTCTTCTATGCTTTCTGCAGCAACCATTTTTTGTTATTTTTGCTTTTGCTTTCTGCAAAAAATGTGAGTAATGTTGTTTCTAGAAGGGACGACACATGACGTCTTTCTTTCTGCTTTGCGATTATATATATTCAGCTCTTGCAATTCTAGTTTATATCCGTTACTAGACAAAACTATCACATACAACTAATTTTTCAAGCAAATATGGGTAGTGGTTATTCACATTATCACCATCACCATCCACACTATGGAGCACATCATTATTCTCATCATTTTGGTCCAGGTCATCACCATCACATGGGCCCAGGATTTGGTTTTGGTGGTCATCATCATCATCATATGCATCATGGATTTGGATTCAATCACCATCACTGTGGCTTTGGTGGAGGTCATCATGGACATTGTTAATAAATTCTATATCATGTAAAGAAATTTTTATCTATGTTATACACTATTTATTGTGAAAATAAAAACTTGTTATAGACGCATTTTCGGTTGACTTATTCATTCTGATATCTGTTAGTTACGTGTGTGATGACGTTTGATATTGTGTCTCACTTAATGAATAGTAAAGTTGCAAAAAATCCGTTCACATCTGTGTAAATAAGACACTATATTTTACAGAGAACATTGTTCTGTGTTCTGGAAAAGAATTTATCGTAGTTGCTCTCGAACGACTCTCGAGTTCAATTTTACGTTCACTACAATAAGAGTGTGAGTGTCGATGTGGCTGTGGCTTTGGGTATGAGTTGTTTTTAAATGCGCAGTCACACTCACACCCACACCTATGATGAGATTATATCATATGAAGGAATAGAATAAAGTGTAATACCATCAGCACTAATACCCCTTCTATCAAAAATCTTCACATTACTATTTTAGCAATAAATTGAATTTTATTAATGTTTTTATTATTTTCCATGTATTTCTATGCATATTAGATATTTTTATATCGTTAATAACAATTGTAATCTTATTCAATCGTTTATTTTTTTCTTGAAATTTAACTAACGAATTATATATAATTAATAAACCAACTACTATGCACTTTAATCTATAGGTACCTATTAGTGTCATCGAATTTTTGCCATAAATGCATATTTGCATATTTTGCTAAATTTGTATCAACAAATCCGATCGTCTATATACTCATCATAATATTTATTTTCTGCTGTTACTGAATTTGTTTTTAACTCCAATGTAACATTATAGTTATGACTAGTCAAACCATCGATAATCCAAGGTTTTTCACATCCATTTTTTTCAATAAATAAATAGTGACATGAAATAATATCAATATGAAGGTATAATATCAAAATATAATAGATCGTAGACGTACGCTTTTGCGTATTAATAATTTCAGTAGAGAATTACGGAAGAATGATGAAGAAAAGTTAAGCTACAGTGTTTTATATATTGAAAATCAATAAAAAAAGACGTAAAACTAATATGCACAATTGCAGCTATTCGATATTTATACGAATAGGGTGTGGGTGTGGGTGTAGAACTTCATTTCACCTACACCCACACCCACATTCACCCCCCCCCCCCACACCCACATCCATCCCACCCACACCCACACCCATCCCCATACCCGCCACCCACACACCCACACCCAAATCAAACGGGCTGAAATTTTCAGGATATGTTGGGGCTATAATGGAGAGGCTATGGTAAAATTTTCAGCTCGATACCACGATGTTTGACAGAGATATGAACCAAACAAGGGTCGTAAAATATATAGTTCATT